CCAGTGACTGTTCCGATCGCTCTCATTTAAAGGGAATTCACCAGCCACAATCATCGCACTGCGCATACCTTCAATTCTTTTCATAGCAGCATCACCTATACACATCCCAAACAATGTTGAACAGTGCGGTCGATTCCCGCATTTTCCGCAATCTTGTTAGAACGGAAGAAATCCGCGACATATTCTCAGATGAAGCTTACATCAAGTGCCTGGTTGAAGTTGAAATTGCTCTTGCGCGAGCTGAAGCAAAGGTGAATGTTATCCCACACGAATCGGCCAATGTTATCGCAGAGAACGCCAAGTACGAAAACCTAGAGTATGTGTCCCCCTTTCCGAACCCTACAATTATGGACTAATAACATCCATGAAAATAGCCTTGACCGCATGGCCGCAGACACCGAAAATGTTGGGTATCCTGTCTTGCCGCTGGTGTGGCAATTGGCCGAGATGGTGCCCGAGGAACATGCCAAGTACATCCATTGGGGTGCCACAACACAAGATATCATGGACTATGCTTCCATGGTGCAAATGCGTAGAGGACTTGTTATCGTCCGTCGGAACCTTCATGAGTTGGATGCAACTCTAAAGTCTCTTTCGGAGAAATATGCCGACACGTACGTCTTAGAAATGCAACACTGTTAAAGAGGTGCTGACACTTCCAAGACCCATGGCAGGCAGGACCCATCTCCAACATGCTCTTCCAATCACATTTGGATATAAATGCGCCGTATATCTATCTGGTATCCAACGGCATATCCAACGATTGACCGAAATAGAACGTCGATGTTTGCTGGTCCAGTTCGGCGGCGCAGCAGGAACATTGGCATCACTCGCCTCGGATGATACCGGTCTAAAGGTGCGAAAACAACTTGCCACAGAGCTCGGTTTACATGATCCATCAATTACATGGCATGTGGCACGGGATCACATTGCAGAAATTATCAACTTTCTAGCACTCATCGGGGGATCTCTAGGGAAAATCGCTCTAGATATCATCATCATGTCGTCTAACGAGGTTGCCGAGGTGGCTGAGCCCTTCGTACCATTTCGGGGAGCGTCATCAACTATGCCTCAGAAGCGAAACCCTATATCAAGCGAAGTTATACTTGCCTCTTTGAAGTTGCTTCGGTCGAACGCATCATTGGCTCTGGATGCTATGGTGTCCGATTTCGAACGAGCCTCTGGCCCCTGGCACTTGGAGTGGAGCTGCGTTCCAGATTCATTTGTCCTATGCTGTGGCGCGCTACACCAAGCAAATTTCATTATGAAGGGCCTTCTCGTCAACACTGAAGCTATGTCAAACAATCTCAACATGACCAAGGGCCTGATTGTTGCGGAGGCAGTGATGATGGGAACTGCGCCGAAACTCGGTCGCCAGAGGGCACATGATGTGGTTTATGAAGCCTGTACAAAGGCAATTGAAGGGAATCTCCCCTTAATTGATTTTCTTCAACAGGATAGCAGTCTGGTAGCTGAAGTCGGAGTGGATAAGCTAAGGTCCCTTTGTGATCCATGTCAGTATTCTGGGTGCTGCCGACAGATGATTGAAAATGTCATTCGTGATGAATAGAATTTTCCGTCAGTGTGATTAACAAGAGAAATATATAAATCATAATACGTGGGAATCCATTTGCTCTTCACACTGGATCGGAAAGTATTGGATAATCTGCAGGTGGTTTACGTTATTATCCTACTCTCCTGCCCATTGCCATGGCTGGGGTGTGTGCCTCTAGAAATCACAACACGCAAATCAGAGTGTGTATTGAGAGTATAAGGGGACCTTTTTTCTTTTTCTTTTTTTTTTTTTCCTTCGAAGCATAAACCTTTCATCTTTATCATTACCTCTATCGTTGCTGCCAAACAGGCTGGATAACTCACTGAACGGGTTTTCGCTGATCGCGATAGATTTGCTGCCGACTTGGTGAGGACGGTGACATCGATCTGCAGGGATTTACGCATCAATTAATATGTTCTCGGGTTAAAGGTGCCCGGTTCATGTACGCCTACAAGATTGCAATGAAACACATGCTGCAGGTGTATAAGGTCTACTATATATATAATCACACGTAGGTCACTACCCTACTAGTAATATTCATGATGCTTGAGTAGTTAATCTATTAGTCCTGGTGTAGGGGCAAGATGTAGGCATTGTATAGAAATATTGCTCTCTCCCAAATGTAACTATCACCCCACAAATGAGTCTCTGTCTCAGGAAGGGAAAAATAACAAGGCGAGGCATATATGTAAGACAGCCAAAGCTCTCCATCGGCCCCTACTGTATTCCGCGGCAAAACAAATGAGAGCTGCGGGGTCGTTGGTCCAAAGCTGTAGATCAAGGAGAAGGAAGAATTTCTCCTCAAATAAGAACACAGAGCATCAGCCGTTTCAGACTACATATTTGGTCGGCTAAATTGGGTTTCTGGGAGTTTTGCCTTTTTCTTTACTATAAGAGCATAACGAAGAACGCTTTGAACGGACTTGTTCACTGCAAAGGCGGCCCCAAGCAAAGTGTCCATAATGCCTTCTCTTGCAAGCATCATCACTTTTGTAATTCTTATTCCATTTGCAGTATCTGATCTATCCGTTAAGCTTAATGTTACCCGCGAAATAAAGCTTTCTCCGCCGGCTAGCCCTAGGCCTGGGAAGCAGATTGTGGATGCAGCATATCAATCATTTTCCATCGAGTTTTCGTTCATGGCAGATTATGCCGGAAATGATACGTATGGTCAACCCTAGATACCATTGGTGACGTACTTTTAAATTTTTCAAGACACCCAAACCTTTTTTCAAGGCAAGTGATTCAAATCTTGTACGACATATCGGGCGCATATCCGATCTTCCGTGTGGGCGGCAGCACCCAAAGCTCTGCCATATATTATCCGAATCAAACCGAAGCTATAATCGACCCATTTAGCTCTGTCGCTTCTGACCAGCCATCGCATACGCTCGTTGGCTCTTCTTGGTTTCAATCCTTCAGACAATTTCCCAGTGGCACCCAATATATATATGGTATACTAGTTATCATGACACCATGGATAGCAAAATGCTAACAGGTTTGCCCAAGGCCTCAATTTCTTCAATACGGTAAACGAGACATATTACAATATTGGCAACGGCCTTGATCAAGGTGTACTCGAGGCAAACGCTGCCTACGAGACCATGGGTAATTCATTATATGCGTTCGAGATTGGAAATGAGGTAGATAGTAAGTTGGCTCGGTATTAGATTGTGATTGTCTACCCTGCGTTTAACAGTAAGAATCAGGCTGGGGAAATGGTAAGCATAGAGACGGGAATTGGACAGTCCAACGCTACGTGAACCAATGGAACGAATTTGCGACAGCTATCAGTCGGAACTTGACTGGTAAGGACGCAACGAGATTGTTCCAAGGATGTGCATTTGAGGCACCTCGCCATCTCGACGAAAGGACGGACTGGAATGTTGAAAATGCGGAGCTAGATGGTATGGGCGCAGACAAGACAAAGACGGTTTCCGACCACGAGGTGAATGAGCATAAGATCAGTAAATTCATCTATGGACTGTCTGCTAACAGGGGCTTCGTAGTATATGGGTGCTAATTGCCACTATACTGGCGCCGGGCCAACAATCCAAGACACCCTATTCGATCGCACCAACATGCTCTCTCGTGTTTGGTACCATGACTATCTGGGCAATGCGACAGCGAACTCAGGTATCAAATATGTTATCGGTGAGACTAACTCCATTTCTTGCCAGGGCGCGTTCAATATCTCAGACGTTATGGCATCTGCTGTCTGGGCCATTGACTATGTCATGTATCTATCCTCACTCAAGGTATCCCGTGTTCATTTTCACATGGGAACACGCTATCGCTACTCACCCTGGCAGCCTATTCTCTACAACGACAGTGCTCCTCACGTCAACCCAATGTACTATGGGAATCTTTTCAACGCTGCTGTGTTTGCAGGCGGGAACAAGCAGACGGAAGTTCTTGTCAACGAAACGAACTTCGGTGCATATGCGGTCTACAAAGCGGGAAGCCTTGATGCTATTGTGGCGGTCAATCTCAACATCTGGAACTCAACATCTGATCCTGTCGCTAGGTTTTACACAGAGCTAGCCCTTACAGATGAGTGGGAAGATGCAAAGGTTTCTAGGCTGACAAGTCCTGGTGTGGATATCGCTGATAATATTACATTTGTTGGCCAATATGTTGATGAGAATGCCCGGATTGTTGGACCAAAGACATATGATACAGTGACTGATGGCAAGGTCCTAGTGGGTGCAGGTGAAGCAATACTTGTTCAAAAGTGATGCGTTGCTGGAGCTTCGAGAGTGAAAATATACTCGATATTGGATTGTATATATTTTAGGATGCGTATGATGGTACATCATGTATTGGCTGTATCTTGAAGCAGGCAAGCATTCAGGCCAAGGAGATTGAATCAGATGTCACCAACTTTTGAACTTCCAGTGGACAATAAACCGGACGATCAAATTTATGAGCAGTTACATAAATTGTACCTGGAAGAATCATCTGTCAAAAGATATATTCATTTTCTTTTTCTAGCAATTAATTCCTAGTAATTATTATCTATCATGTCGAATCAGGACATATAAGAACCTCGGTATGTTTTGTTAGGTTGCCACAAATTGTTCATTAGCTGTAAAGTTCTAAATTGCATGGTATCGGCTATACTGTATCATACCATTCACATTAATACCAGTACAGCGGAGGCATAGTGAGTAGTGCTTTATCCACATCATAAGGAGCAATGCGTCAGCGGAACTTCCCGCTTCAGGACACCGGAACTGGCCCCAAGTGAGATTAGCCTCACCCCCACTCTTTCTTCAATACAGATATTGATATAAATGCTGCTTTCCATTCCCGCCTCTGCACACGAATGATGTGGCTTTTTGTCAAAATCTTTCTAGGCTGATGGTATCTGAACCCACTTCAGCTCCTCATTTCGACTTCAACAAATTGACAGCAGACTGCCCATCACCTCCTCCCTCCTAAAATGGAAGAACTGTTGACTCCCTTTCTACAATATACAGAAAAGGACCGTCGGTGAGCTGGTCCCGCTACTTAACGAAGTTCTGATCAAGCAACTGAACCTAGTGGCCACTTGCAATAGGTCTGACGCGCCTGCTTTTTCGCTGGCTCTTCACGGTCCAGAAAGACTGTCACGCACATCCCCATACCTGTTTCATGTGGCCCTACAGCGGGTGGATGAAGTTAGGGATTACTGTGTCTTTGCATGGTACCCGCAAACCCATGGCTTTGCTATCTCAGACGGGTTTATTCTCCTTCATCGTACCGCGCAGGGCGGGCTGCACCAAGTCAAACTCCCCGAGTATACTATACTCCCCCAACTAGAACATGGGCACTTCTCCCCTTACAATATCCATAAGCCCGGTAATGTCAAGCAATTTTACGATGCTATCCCCGACCGTCTTATCCCATACCTACAGACAGGCGAGCGATATGTACTCCTCTGGCCAGGTCAACAATATGACTCATGGAATTGGACCGATAAAGTAGAAAATTCTAAACTCGTCTTGCCAGGCGGGCCCTTCTTATCCTTCATAGTCGAGGACAATGAGATCATGCCGATCATGCCGACGTTGATCTGCGGGTGAGAACCTTCCTTGTTCCTCTTCTGCGTGTCCTACCCAAGAACACACGCTAAGATCCCTATGCACCCATATGGTTAGAGTGAAAGAATACTGTCCTACTCTGATTGCAAAAGTCGAATGTTGCCCCCAAGGCCAGGTGGTCACAGGATGGCCTCGTGCTTGCGACCCTTCATGTGACGTACGTGCCAACAAGTGGTAGCGGTGGTAGGCCGTTTACTTTCAACACGGCAGGATTGACCGTCGAGCTCTGGGTTTGGCGGGATCAGTGGGTCAATCTGGAAGGGTTCGTCTGCGGCGGAGGATGGGCATTCGTCGATGACCCAGATTTGCAAGTCTCGCCAGGCCGCGATAATGGCTTTGCCAGTTTGCGTCCAGGAGAAACGTGGTCCGAGGTCTTGCAGCTTCACTTGCTCACGGACATGGAGAGCAATGATGGCGGGGAAGCCCGGGTTGGGGAGGGGATCCGGTATCTCTTTAAGGGCCTCCGGCTCGACTGGTGGGTTTGGGGAAGTAGGGAAGACCATTTGGAGACGACAGTCACAATTCCAGCCACGGGAAGCTGGACGGTACGGGAGCCGGGCGAACAGCCTGACGTTTTTATCCCTGCGGCGGCACCAGTGGATTTGGAAATTATATAGAACGAGCCGATCGGAGGAGACGGATTCTAAACACGCTACTTGCGATATGTCTCAGGCACCTCGTGGGTCATCTGAATTTTAAGCAAGGCATCCAATTACACGATTCTTCCAGATCAAGCTTTGGGAGAGAAATATCCATGCGTCTATAATAACTTAACCTATCAGCAGTCCACAGTGATGACATTGTATACAGAAGAGCTCATAACTATACACCCATTCTAGCTCAATCTGGCTAAGCATGGCTCATTCTGTCCAAAATCATCTTGCTATGTAAGATAGACAAACTATAGTAAAAGGACAATCCTCCGAGCATGGGAAGCCCCGAATTGAGATTCCTCACTCGCTGCAAAAATTTCAATGCCTAATTTCCGTATTGATACGGAGTACATTACCTGAGTATCAATGGGACAAGCTCTCTAGGCTGCCTGACAAGCTCAAGCACTGGACAAATACCGATAAGACTAGCGTGGTGATGGTGACGGTGGGCGGCAACGATGTTGCCCTCGCAGAAATATAAAGCCAGACCAGGTGGGAGTTTCCCACGCAGAGTGTTGCGTTTGATGCGTCGGGTTCACTTCATAGAAGCTTTTGAGATTGAACCCGTATTGTGTCATACTTAGCGGAGCTAATCCTCTCGCATGGCTTTTCTCACATATTTCTCATCAGGCACGTCTTTACCATATGGGCCATACGTCACAAGCACTGGGAATCGGCTTTCCACTGCGGCTGCTTTGGACTTATACACATTGCAGCGAACCACTCCACCGTTTTCCAACCGCACAGACACGTTCTGCTCATATATATAGGGAAAGCTTGTTGAGTCGGTGGTTTGAATGTTGCGGTATTGGTTGGGCATCCTGAGTTGCTTCGACTGTTTCCCAGGAATAGATGCGGATGGCTCGAATGGAAGACGTGTCTTCAACACGATATAATCTTGCCTTTACGAAAACAACCACATTAGTATTCAGGCTATGAATCGAAGGTGTTTTTTTGGAACAATGGATAAATACTTGAACCATCTATTAGCTGTGGTTGGAGATAGGTGCAACCTCGGCTAACCGGCCTATGCTGGGGTTCAACCAACACCGAATGGCCCGAATGGCACGAATGCCTCCTCCTGACTAGGAAATGATCAAGTCAGCGTCAGAATAACATACTCCAGTTAAATCCACTGCGGAAAGGGTTTTAGAAGACAGTAGGCCGTGACCGTTCGCTAATTCGATCATTGGGTTCTGTGATTACAGACGCATAAGGTCTTACTAGAGCGATTGATAAGGGCAGGCCAGGGGTAAGGTACATTTAACTATAATATAGAAAAGCAGCGAAACTAGAACACCACATTTTCACAAATAATCACAGCCCTTTAGCTGGACTAAGCTGTGATTCTAGGAAATCGAAAACAACTTGATGCAATCGAAAGAAGGATCCTTGGTGACAATGTGCGTCTCCCCCTTCGTCTGTTCGTAGACTGACAAATTTGTGCTCACAGTTCAGATTTCTCTGAAGCTCCTCTGGCTGGCCTCTCAGGAAATGATCATTTTCTGCGTCGAGTATCAGACACGGTGTGGCAATAAGTTGACTGATCCCCTCCAGAGTGTATTTGTTGACTGCACGACTCAGCTCTGCCGGGGATGCCACGCCAAAAGTCCACTTCCCGTTGCGCAGAGCCCACCGGATCCCTGTCGAGAGAGACTGAACACAGTGGAATATTGGGTTGACAATCGAATCGTATCTGAGTTCAACAAGCTTCTGAATAAAGGACGGCTGTTGGGCCCGAAATGCAGAACCAAAATCGTACACGCCATCATCCAGGATGATGGCTCGGGCCCGATGCTCCCGCGTAGCTCCTCGCGCCACTAGGAACCCACCCATGCTCCAGCCAAAGATGACTATTGCATCTGCATCAATGTCCATGCGACTCACAGCATAGTCGACAACAGGGGTGAGTACGTTCTCCCAGTCGGGCCGAAAGTGTAGGTGCTGTCGCCGGATAGCTGCACCCTGCCCAGGCCCGTCGAAGGCAAGGAAGTTATAGCCTCTTGCTAGAGCCGCCGCTCCAATCGCAAACCACCCTTCACTCATGGTCGAGTCAAAACCGCCGTTGAAGATGATTGTCCGTCGAGGTTTTTTGGAGCTGTCAGGACTAACAAAATACCCTGGTAATGATGTGCCTTCGTAGGGGATGCTGATCGACTCGTAGGAAAACGTAGACAGCCCCATCGCCTCGACGAAAGCAGTCTCTGATCTTTCATACAATGACTGGGAGATTTTGTCTTCGTCCACATTTTCTCGACGGAAGAACTCGGCGGTGCGGAAATAATTCGATGCACGAAGGTATCCATGGTAGGCACTTTCTTTGTTCTGCACGGACTTCGAGAACTCTGCATTAGACACTGCCCGTTCTGCAGCGCCTTGCCATTCGCGAAGCCAGTCATCTTCGTTCCCGGGCCTGATTTTGGAACAGAGAGCTATCACTTCGCCGAGATCTGCCCCACCATAGTTGCTATATCCGGCAGCTCGAAGCGCTTCATAGCTAAAGGACTCGTTGGACTTGAAAAAATGATTGATAAGCATGGGTGGCATGTTTGGAGCCTTCCAGGGATAGAAGTGTGGAAGAAGTAATCCTCAGCCAGGAATTACAGGAAAGTCGAATGGTATCATTGCCGGTCGCGACCACATGATTGCAGACCGAGGACTTTCCTTTCTGTCACGCCATCCGCGGGCTGGTTCTGGTTCTTCGCCCTGCCGGCGTACGTAAACTACTGCATTAACTTTTGCTGACAGACACCAATTCGGACCGACTCGGACCAACTTTGGATCTTATACCCTTCTTAGGTACTTCTTCCATTCTTCGATGATTTGAAGAGGAATGAAGAATGACCCCCATACTGAGCTATAACCTCATCGCCTCGCTGGCGCAGCATGGAAGCTCCTCAGGTGCATCACCCGCAAAAAGCGAAACGAGCCCCGAATCTCGTAGCTATGAGATTGAATGTAAATAAGGGTGAATATAAAGGCAATATACTAAATAAGGTGGACGGTTCAAAGTGCGGACCCTCCCCTCCGAAGGTGCTCCAAATACCCACTGTACATGGGATTCGGCCCGAATTGAATTTGGCCATCCGCCATGAGACACACCAGATGGCGCTCAAATTGACTACCCCGCCCTCCAGAGGTAGCAATGAAGACATTCCAGAGACTCAATTCATAGCAAGAGATACAACGGCATGCAAGATCCGCGCGGTTCAATTCTGTAAGTTGCTGTTTCGATCGCACACCGAAAACAACGTGATGTTGAAGCAAAAGGTAGGGGCAGAGAAAACAGCAGGCGGTGAGAGGAAGCTTGGGATTTCCGTCGAGTAAATGAGACATAACCCGCAGGAACGTACGTACAGATATGCAATCTACATTTTCATGCGAAGCTGGAGACCATGGACAGTACCCAAATTCTAGCGAGCGGAGATGAAAATAATGAAAATACCAGAACCTTGTCGCACTCGTCTATCACTGCATGTTTGCGGTGCCGGGAACAGAAGGTGACTACATGTCCGTCCGATGCCAGAACCACTTCGCTTAACGTCGAATGACTCCCAGCTAAAGTGTGGTCGCGAACGTCCCACGTGCACTCGATGCGAGCGACTCAGTGCAAAATGTAACCATCCGCGGCCTCCAAATCGCCGGGGTTCACGGGGCCGGCGCCTGGGGACTCAACGCCGGCGCAACGAAGCAGTTTCGCAACAAACTTCTGCCGCTGAGACTCAGAAAATCAGTCCGATCCCTGGGCATCATGCTTCGAGTTCCCTTGGTCCTAATATTCATCGTGAAGACGATCCACCTCTCCTAAATTCCACTGGATTGGATGACACACCGGCGGCTCTAGGTATAGGAACACGTACTCCGTCTAATGTACCTGCTGATCCGAGCTGCACCAGGGCTGTTATACAATAGCTAATTGGTCCGTAGACATACCCAAGTCAGCTACGTACGATGACGCCTGTCGCATTGGAGCCAGGACGTTCCTCAGACCAGACACAATTACCACCACCCGCCCTGTGTCTTTCTTTGCTGGAGGTATACTTTACGCGCGTATATAACGCACCTCTACTGTTTCATAAACCCACTCTTTTTCATGGAAGGGAGACTCCATCGCTCTCTTTTTAGAGCTTTACTCGCGCTAGCAACTCTGTATGTCACTTTTAGACTCTAGCGCTTCTCCACGTTCAACTCAGCTAACACGATGCCCAAGATTTCTTCAGCCGAGGAATCATTCGAATGACATATTACCTGCAATAGAAGGGCAAGCAGAATTGACAATTTTGAGCTCATATCATTCTTGCGGTCGCCCATGGGCGAAAGCTGCTTTAAGAGAACTTTTGATCTCAGCCTTAGAGTGTCCATCTCTGATGATCGTCCAAGCGTTGGAGTGTCTGCAGCTGTATTGGTTTGGCATTGGTGACTTTCATTCTGGCAGTTTATGTCTTGGTAAGCTCTTGTGTCTACCATTGGTCAAAAGCATGCCTATGGATGCCTGAGGAACTTGTGTTGACAAGTTCACAGCCCTCGCCTATCGTTCATGTCATCTGCTTGGATATAGCAGGAAGTCTACGGACAACAGCGACTATAATGACGAGTCTCTCGAATCTGAACTTTCCCGTCGATGCTTCTGGGCTTGCTGGACATCTACATGCATCGTTATGGAACCAGAACCATGTATCAAATTGGCCTGGCAGGAAGTGGGCTTGGTGCCGCTTCCGGGACTGATCTCCAATACGTCGTCCGGCTACACGATAACTCTAAATCAGACAATGGATGAGAATTGGATTTCCAGGTCCTTGGATCGTCGGATAAGCAGTGACAGCTACCCTGGGAGTGCAGCCATCTCAATGAAAATGGTTGGTGTGTGGTCAGTACACATGTTGACCTGCAAATCTTCTAGCCTTGTATAGGTTTAACTGAAATGATGTTCTTTTTAGGGCGAAAATTCAACAATTGTGCAAAGAGCACACCTCTGCTCCAAATGCTCAAAGTTTTGGCCAACTCGAAAAATTATCTCACTTGGCAACATCGCTATTTGATGAGTCAACCACCCGGAGAAATTCCGGTCATCAGAATGATCCAAAAACCGAAGGCGAGAGCCTATTACTCGTCCACGATGCGCTCTACCACCAATGTCAAATCGCTGCCCATTGGATGATTGTCCCCCTTCTTTCGGGTATCCCTTCTGACCCAACAATTAGATCTGATAAGCAAAGAGAAAGTGCAGATACTGTTCTAAAACATGCAGAGCTGCTTGAACGGCTACTGGCGCCTTATCTCTATGGTCGAAGTGATATTTCACGTCTGCCTCCCCTTGTTGGCTTTGGTGCTTTTGTCGCAGGTATTGTGCTTTTGGCAACGGAAATTTCCCGCCAGGACTGTGGAGTGAATGGATCATTCACAAAAGACTGTCGAAACGGTCCCAGAATACCCGCAGTGAGAGCGATTGTGCATTTATTAGATCATCTGCGAGTCTATTGGAGAGCGTTGGAACGTCCGGTAAGTTGTACCTCGTTCTGATTGCCACGTTTGATGTCGTACTTTGACTTAAACGATCACCAGTGGGAAACCTTGAATTCCGCATTGTCGACAGACTCTTTCAAGTATACAAGACACGCCACACCAATGATTGTACGAGGTGGTATGTTGATGAGAATGCTCGTGCAATCCGGAAAGTTTCATTCGGCTAAACTAATACGAATTTAGATCGTCGTGTGGCATCATCCAGTGACTGTGAACGTCCCGAAATGCCTGGCGGATATAATCAAAGCGAGGATATCTCAAGCAAGCAGCTGCAACCCTCTGAAGCCGAGATACGTACGGGAGAACTTGAAGCCCAACTCTGCTCGTCTACAGCTCCCTTGAACGGGAATGGGTTAGGGGCGCCAGATGAACTAGGACGAAGTGACTCACCCATCGATCAGGTCAGTCTATCACGCGGCTATGACTGGTATAGCTTGTCTTTCGCGGACGCCGGACTTGAGCAGTTTGCTGGGCTTGAGCCTTCTACACTTTTTCAGCAAGGCTGGGGGTGGGGGTCATTTGGCTAGTGATCTACCGCCCAGAGAACACCTTGCAATAATAAAAAAATGGCTCGCATTGACGGCTTGCCAGAAAGTCGGACGCTAGTACTTTGCTTCCTCCTGCTTTCGCAAAAGCAGAGTCGTAAAAGACCTTATTAAGCATCCGGGGCAGTAAGTATGGCCACAAAATAGTGCCCAGATCTACTATCTTATAATAGCAGATCTTGTATTCACAGTACTTCTATATCTTCTCAGTAATATGATACTTAAGAGAGTAAGCCGTTCCTCACTATCTGGTATTAGTTTAACTAGGTCCGGACTTGGTAGTAAGCTAGCAACGGGTTCAATTGTGTCGCTCACTGCAACAGAGACCGCATCAGAATCGATCAGGTTTACTAGCTGCTAGTCAGTTCATTATCTCCGGCAGAATAAATGGCGCAAAAAACCAATACTATCACCGGCGCGGAATAAAGTATAAAAATCAACGCTAATTTCAACATCTCGATCACTAAGAGCATCAACGTCAATCGGATTATCTAAGATATATCAATCAACATAGTAAAATAACCGCAGAGCTATTGCATACCTATACTTAAATTAAAAAGGAGACGAACCAAAATTGACGATTCTCCAATATTCTCAGAGACTTAACGATAACCATAAAAGCGAAGCCAGAACTTCTACAAGAACAGGATCTACAAAACTAAAAGGCTAGATCTAGGGCGCGAGCTAAACATAGATGGAAACAAAAAAGTATATAACGATAGTACGAAAATACTAAGAGGTTCTTAGGCCAGGAAGATATATATTAAAATAATAACCAGGTTGGTCGCAACCCAGGAATTCAGAGAAATATTTATATCTGTAGAACCAGCTAATCCAAAATCATCTGAGGTGTGTCTTAAGGAGCTTACTTAGTTAAGCAGCAGATCAGAGCTAGGTACTTGCGCTGATTTTTATATTCTGTCCCTAATGCTCACTAAGCCCGATCTAGTTACTGATCAGAGCACTAGTTAAAATCGTCACGAAGTTCTCACTCTCTTCAGCCGGACAAAAAGTCTAAATACCGAAAGACGAGACAAAGCAATACCGCTATAACGATATTGAGTACGATCTTTATCCATTGCTCGTAGGTCAGACGCCGAGAGGCGGCCTACATTGTCGCGCAGGGCATCGTTCTATTTAACCCATCTCTGGAACCTTGAACGAGCTGGTCGTTAAAAGTTGGTGGCCTGCGAATGGTAGTCCGCAATCACGTGTATTTGGTCAAAATGCTACTACTTAATATAGGCTCCTATGTCTTCTCGTTGGCAAATGCAGATATTCCTGCTGCCTATGGATGGTGGCAAAGTGCATAAGTTAAGGTGCCGGACTGTTCACAGGGAGGGGTTAGAGGCCATCGAACGAATTTCTCGCCTGGTGGTCTCATAACACCACGAAAGAAATATCACACCAAGGGTGTGAGTGTTCAAAGAGAATAGCACCTGTCTGTAGTGTACTGGCGCTAGTCGCGCGAGCGCCAAGATTGCGCACCAGTTCATACCCTGAAGGTGCACCCACCCGACTACTGACCGCATGTAAGCCACACGCCGGGAGGTTAGTAGTTGGATAAGTAACCACCAGCGAATTTCTTCTCTTATATGTTTTTTTTTTTTTTTTTTTTTTTTTTTTTAGGTACTTCTTTCTCTTCATTTATTTCATTACTCCTTTAACCTGTAATACCCAGGTCACCCACCTCTTGTTTCGAGTCCGCAGATATCAGTGCTCTGTCCCAGTGACAACCACCGAACAAAAGTTATATACCAGAACTCAACCTGCTGCGATTCCCCTAACCTGCTTTGAGCTTCACTGTCCCACATCGTAAACGTTCGTTTGTCTATCATGGCTTGGATAGTAGATGATTAATCTCGGTCCTTGGTAAGTGACTTTGCATCAGAGGTCTTTCTATCTGAGTACTAGTAATGCTCAGTTAAAGCTAGTTCAATCAGCTCAGGTGGTCGATTTTATCGGTCACATATTTTTCTACCTTTGTTCCACCCTTCTATACTAGGCGAACCTCAGGCCACCCGATGATATACCAAACAAACCTGATCGGTATCTACCATACACAGAAGTAATTATAAATCTATATCCTATAGAACTACTAAGACCATTATACAGGTCTCTTTCACGCTTTCTTTTGGATTAATAATAAAATGTAATTAATGATTCTAGAAAAGAGCCGCTATCAGAGCTATCAATCTAATCTAAGAAAGCTTGTTCCCGGAACAGTTTGCTGCGTCGCCAAGATGAGCGTGCTTAGGAGAATTCGGCTGTTTATGTTTACGCCGGGGCTTGATAGCACCTTACTGTCATGTAAAAACTCAAGTATCCCTTAGCTAAACCCAAAGGTCGCGGCCACCTGTCCGTCGCATCCTTTACAACCCATTGGTTCACCGCAATGCCTGCCTTACGGGGAACGAGTTCTAAAATGAACCGTCCGCTGCGCAAAGGGCTGCACTATGCCATTGCCTCTTTGGGGGAAGATATTACGATCTCCCTCTGTTTTGTCTGTGTGAAATAACATCAAATTCCTTAGTCGACGTCCTGAATTAGGCCACCAGTAGTCATCACCACTTGGAATTGCTCTGATGAGTAACATCCCAATCGATGTTGCTATTTGATTCTTATATCTTCTGGCATCGTGTTTATTCAAGATCAAGATATGGACAGTCGCTCGGATCCGCGTAGAAGATGCCGCCCAATCTCTTGATCAATTCACAGCGTTCCTCCATGTTCTTCGCATTATGGATTATAGCTGTGCCCAGTTCACTAGCGCGGCCATATGTGGTATTCAATACCCAAACACCACCACCGTCTGGCCAGCCGAAGGAAACATACGGATCCGTATCCTCGCGTGTGTGAAAAAACATGAATTCCAACTCATCCCCATAGGTCTCGAACCATTTCGCACCTAAGCGACGCACTAGGGAAAGATGAAATGTGTTAGCGTGACACCTAGACTAATGCTTTGAAGGGGAAACGAACTACGATCACAATGTGCCTCCTCTTTGGCCTGCCAATCAAGGTCTGACTTGGAAGGTCGTTCGGTGTTCCCGAATCGGTCGATCCCGAGGAAATCCAGTTCTACCCCAACGCACTCGCGAAGAACATAGAAGCCCCCCCTTGAGGGGAAACCGTAAACTGCAACCCCTGGACCCGATCCATATTCAGCCCAGAAGCGCGGCTCCGGCTCAGTATGTACGCAGTCAATCCAGTTACTCGGCATGTCGGATGATGGTGCTGGTGCTGTTGCCGGCGCACGACGCATCTCGCTTACTTCACGTTGGGGCCGGAGGCGCGTGCCGGCCAAGTAAAGAACTGAAATGATGAAACAGGGAACTAGGACTGCAAGCATAGATCGCATAGTAGTGGGGTTCAGGCTAACAGATAAAATAATGTGATGAACTGAGGCCCTGGAGATGTCAAAAGGCGACCGTCGGACACGCGGAACTTGAGAGCTTGGAGAGGCTGACCCTGATCAGAGTGGAAGGCCAGTGAGATGCGCATTGGGCATGTTTCAACCTGGTCACGATTAGGCTGAAGCGTTCATTAAACAAGCATCGCGGAAGACCTGCCCTGTGGCCGGGAACACATCGTCAAACAAAGGGTCTCCGTTACCCGTGGATAGTTGGACACAGCCCGCCGATCACGGTCCCCGCTTCTTCTGTAGTAGTGTCACCACCGAGAGCTGCCTATGTAAAAGCCGTGAAACCTAGACAGACCCATCCTTTATCATGAATGTCCCAGTTCTAAATCCTAACTAATTGGGTGAGTAACTACCAGTAAATCTTTTTTATTATATATAAATATTTACTACTTTTTTTTTCCCCCATAATTCATACTTTTATTCCTTTTCCTCATTTCATTTCATTTTTTCTATCTGAATACTTACTCTTCCTATCTAAATTTTAATAAGTTAAATCTAAGTACTTCTTTTTTATTCTATATAGCTGATATATCTTTATCTTTCTAGGATACAGTTATATAAACTTCGTTATCTCAACAGAACTATACTGAATTATTTAGAATTTTGGTTAAACCGTTATATACCTACGAGCAACTCAACAATATACATGCGCGTCTATTTGAAGGCCCGCCCTTATATTGTTTCATGCTACCCAAGGAATACACCTACGACCAGATCTAGGAGCTGAACCGAGAGACTACAAAGCACAACTGCATTAACTGTTGTACCGATGGACATGCACGGCTGTTTATCAGTCAGCCTGCATGACATCACCCAGGCCCGCCATTGCCTCGCGAACAATCTCCTCCACGGTAATCCCCGCCAACAGCTTCAACACGGGCACGTCCACCCCCAACTCTCCCATGATCCACGCTCGGATGTCGACCGCGATCAACGAGTCCACGCCCAGATCCACCAGTGCCGTGGTCTCGAGAACCGGTTGATCAGCAGGGAGATGAAGAATGGAACGCACTTTCGAGACGATACCATCTAACAGCAAGAGTAAGAGTTTCAGTTAGGGTGCCGGTCAAGAAGAGGGGTTTATAGTCAACTCACCTAAAATAATCATCTGGGCTTCCTCCTTTGCCTTAGACTGTGCCAGCCGCGCTCGCGTCGAAGCAGCCTTCTTGCCCTCCTCACCACCCCGCATGTCACCATACTCACGACGCAAGCAGTTTTCCTGTTTCCAGTAGTGCGAGAAGCGGACGTTCGTCGCCCACGTCACGCCTCGCCCCACTGAATCCTCTGGATCGGTCATATCGACCCGGGGAATTCCGGCTGTAATCACTGACCCCTGGGCTACATCAGATGCTGAGGATGCTTGTAAAGGTCGCCCTGCTCGAATTCCCTCCGCGAACAAGGCATGTAGGTGCTGCTCCCCCATCGGCAGACAATACGCCTCCAGCCGCGCCATTTCCTGCGCCGAGTACTGAGCCCGCTGCCGCTTTACGTACCCGACGTCCGTCATACGGGAGATCTGGATCACGGAGCCTGTTAGATGGCGTCGCCGCCGCTGTGTGATAAGCGCTTCCGAGGCGACGTTGGCTGCGGTGTAGGCACTCTGGCCTAGGTTGCCTAGCGTGGCGAGGATGGAAGAGAACGCGATGAAGAATTGGAGGGGTTGGTCGCCGACCAGGTTGTCGAGATACCGGAGGCCTTGGACTTTGGGTTGCAGGACTTCGTGTAGTTCGGCTGCGGTGGTTTGGGTGAAGAAATTTTCACGCATGAGCATGGCGCCGTTGGCAATGCCGTCTAGCGGGGGGTAGGTTGTTGTGATTGTTTTGTGGATTGCGTGGAGGTTGGGTAGGGAAGTAATATCTCTGTGTGAAGTTTGGTCAGTCTGGTTCTTCTGCTTGTTTGACTTGTGTACCCTGGGTGGGTGGGGGAGAAGAAAGGGGGCGAAGGGGACTGCAGTACCCAGCTATGGTGATTATATTGGCTCCGTGACTTTGGCGATGTCTTTCGACCCAGTCTGGTGACATTTGTGGGCGTCGGCTCGTTAAAATAATCGTTCGAGCGCCATGGTGAACCATCCAGTCGCACAACGACTGGCCGAGATCACCGGTCAAGCCAACGAGCCAATAGGTTCGATCCGGACGCAGGATCTGCGTGGACGCATCGATGGGCTGATAGTGGACGGACAGGGGGATCGGGCAGGACCAGTTGACAATGGAAACCCCTGGCAGTGACCTGGGCTGACAGTCCAGGAGATCTGGTAGCCCGTATTCCGGATGGTGCGCGCTCACGTTTAGCACGATGTACTCTTCTGCGGCCGTATGAGCATCACTGAGCAGCTCAGTCAAGTCTGTTAGTAGCGGAAGAGCTGGCAGAAAGAATACTTCGGCGACCCCAGATGGAGGTGCATATCGTTGGAAATGCCCTCGGAGAGAGTCCAGTGTCTGTGTCGGAGCAGCACTGTCGTCCGAGAAATTGATAATGACCTGAAGGTCTTTGGGGAAAGCGGCGTTCAAAACTCGTCTGGGAGCCCGCGGATTGCAGTACACCCACGGCCCCATAGTGGCCAATTCTTTACTGGCTGTGAGGTAGTGGACCTGGCATTTCTTCGCCTGGAGTTGGAAGGTCCAGATAGCTTGATACATGGCAGCTGGAGGATCAAAGGCATAGAGCAGAACGCTAGTTCCAGGCGCGATGTCCTTCACGACAGACGCGATGAGAAGGTGGGCGACCAGAAGGCCAAAGTATTGGGAGTGACGGCTTATCTCGGGGCTCACAGCGATCGATGACAGTTTCGGTGCGGTCAAGATTGACGATATCTCATTGGAGGCCACCACCACGGTCTCGCCGGTGACAGAGTCGACGCCCTGATGCAGGAAGACGGGTCCATCACGGGTCGGCAGGGCTGTCAATGCCGAGCGGGTCGTGCGTACGACGCGAGAGTCAACCCCCTCATCCGATAGGAAGGGACTCTTGTCGACCAAAGTGAATATGTCGTTGTGCCATTCTAACGAACACGCTTGTGTTTCCACATGAATGGGAGCCGAGACCTTCCTCCTTGAGCTGTTGAGCCGGTTGTTGGCCGGCTCCAAGGGGTGCAATCGTGGTATCAGTAGCTGGCCGGTCGAATCCAGTGCCAGCTCCG